AACCGAAAAGTGGGTGAAGGGAGACGTCGGACAGGGCAAGATATGACAAAATACCAATTTATAAACTATCAAGGGCTCATGAGGGAGTGGGGAGCGGGGAGGGAGGGGAAAAATGAGGACCTAATGCCGGGGCCTTAAGTGGAGAGAAAATGGTTTGAGAATGATGTACAAATGCGCTTTACACAATTGATGTGTGTATGGTTTGCGATAACAGTTGTATGAGCCCCTAATAAAATGTTTAAAATTTAAAATAAATAAATAAAAGAGTTGTACAAGACCCCAATAAAAAAAATTTTTTTTAAAGAACATTTCTAAGGAACACGATTTGAGGCCCGAAAGGATGCTAAATCTGCAGTCTTTTAACCGTGTAAATGGAAGAGCTTGGGATTGATGATTCAGGGAAGGGTTACGGCGACTTACAGTGACAGAGGAGAAACCGCCCCTGTGGGTTTCCCAGGCTGGCACTCATTAGGGAAATAGAGAGTCCTGCCTTTCTCCCTAACAGTGGCTGCCAGTTTCCAGCTGCTGACCATGTAGTCAGCCGCCCAGCCCGTAGCCACTGCAGCGCCAGGGCCCTCAGGCGAGGGTCAGAGAGTGGGCAGAGACAACAGGTGTACATTTTGATCGTCCTGTTTCTAGTTTACAGTAGCCTTTTGACGCCCCGCCTGGGTCCCTCAGGAACACGAGAAGGGCCCCTGAGGGCAGGTGAGCATCACCTTCATATCGAAACACAGGTAAGACCTCACTACTGTCAAGTCCGCCCCCTCACAGCGACCCCTTAGCAGTGGTGCTCAACCTTTCTCAGGCCGCAGCCCTCTCACACAGTTCCTCATGTGGGGGTGAACCCCAACCATAACATTATTTTTGTTGGTACTTCATCACTGTCATTTTGCTACTGCTATGAATCAGGCGACCCCTGTGAAAGGGTCGTTCGACCCCCAGGTTGAGAACGGCTGCCTTATCGGGTTTCCAAGGCTGTGAATCTTTCTGGGAGCAGATATATCTTAGTACTATTCATTGCAGAATGTACAGGTATTACTTTTGAAAAATCATTTACATGGCATACGTGATATGCTCATTTGGGCGGGGGGGGGGGACCGACTAACTGAAGGAAAATAAAAATAACGAGCAATTTCAGCTCTCAAAAATCCCACTATCCACAGCGCCCTTCTTCCAGAAGCTG